TATTATTATTATTATCTTTACAGAGGGTCCCAGATTAAAGATGTTTCGGGAGGGAAAGCGACTCAGTAATGTAAGATTCTACTCGTATGTACAAGGCCCAATACCAGCATTCAGTAAATAATCCAATTATTAGACAATATTATTATTAATAAAAATTGCAAAACATAAGGATCTTGTTTTGTTGTTTGGTTTTGTTGTTTTTGTTTTTGTTTCTTGTTTTTCGTCGTGTTTGTTCATCATATTATGTATATATATATATATATATATATTTCCTTTTTGAGGCGTGATGAAGGCTTTTTTTAATTTGATGTTGTTGTTCTTGACGTAACTGCTGTTGTTATTGTTGTTGTTGTTGTTGTTGTTGTTGTTGTTGTTGTTGTTGTTGTTGAAACTGTAACTGTCGTTATTGTTGTCATTGTTTTTGCTTCTGCTGCTATTATTAAAACAGTAGGCGTTGTAGTAGTTGTTGTTATTATTATTGTGGTTGTTGTTGTCAGTTTTGTTGTTGTCGTCGTCGTCGTAGTCATTTTTACATGGGTAGTTTGCGGGTGCTCTTGTGTGGTTTGCTCTTACTCTTCTATCTGAAATATATCATCCTTATCTCTATTCCTCCTTTTTTTTCTTTGATGCACTCAAGTAACACCTCTAATCTTCGACACTTAAATGACCCTATTGTATCCTTGTATCCTTAATGCCGTAAAACTCCTTAAAAATAACTAAAACAAAAGTCGTTGTCATAGAAAAGTAAAAGACAAAAGAGGAGAGGGATGAAGGGGAAATGATTAGAGAGGGAGATCAAGACACACAAAGAGAAGGGTTGATCCTCAACTTTTCTCTCCTTCTGCCAGAGATGATCCCGTTCTCAAACACATTGAGCGGCCACTGAATTCTCTCCACGACAGGGAAAAACACGAAGGCCAGTTGCATGCACAAACAAAAAACAAAAAACAACCAAACAAAAAACAACAAGATGGCAAACTCACTAGAGAGACAAGGTCGGCCTAATGCGTCATGCAAGAGAAGCAAAAACTTGGACAGCAAATGCGTTGTTTTATCAGGCGCAGATTTTCGAAGCCGTTAGCGATCTTTGTAAACAGGTCTGAAGGAGACGAGTCATTCAGTGCAGGCAGGACCGAAACATTGAGAATTCTATCTCGGAACCTCTGTACTCCTTAAGAAGTGAATGGTCGTTTAAAATTATGGACTGGTCTATGGGTTTTGTTCATGCGTGTGTGTGTTGGGTTTTGTTCATATATGTGTGTGTGTGTGTATGGATGCCAAGGGGGGG